GAGCGGCGCCTGCAGGAGCGCAGGACGCTGCGGGAGCGCCTGGCCCGGAGCTGCAGGTCAGCCGCCGCCACGCGTCCGTCCCGGTGGGAGGAAGGCTCCGTGGTTCTCCTTTGGAAGTTGACTCTAGTCTCGGAACTTCTCTCTGGGGAGAGGGTGTCCCGGGAGTCCTGTCTCTCTTCCTCTTTGGGGGACACCTGGAGCGCTCCTTGGGGATCCAGCGGGTCCCCACCGCTTTGTGGTGATGGCCAGGCTGAGGAGAGCGGGGAAGAAAGGGGCTCGATTAAAAAGAGACGCTGGGTGAAGGCATCACCTGACCAGGAGGAGTCCAGAGCCCAAGCTCCTTCAGGCAGGATGCCACCCAGAGACCAGAGTGACGGCCAGACGCGGGGGAGCGCAGTGTCCCGCGGCCTTCCCATCAGGCGGGGGACCCCGGGAAGCCTCTGTCCGTCTCTGCACCCAAACCGGCCTCCTGTTATTAGATATCCCAGACACAGAATTAGAGAACCGGCGATTGCTGCCGGATCCTCTCTTTAAAAACCTTAAAAAAAAATAGAACATTTAAAATACATATAAAAGTAAAGAGTAGTATAATGAACCTCGTCTCCACGTTTTTATCCATCACCCAGCTTCAATGATGATCTACTCCAAGTTAATCTTCTTTCATCTATTGACACCCACTTGCCACTCCCCCCAACCCTGTTTCTCTTTCTCTCTCTCCATATATATGTTGGGACAAAAGTAGGCTTGCAGTTGTTTGTATGGAAAGTAATACAATGATTAATGGATAATAATACAAGAATGAACTTCATGTTTCTCAGACTCACAACTGTAAACCTCCTTTTGCCCCAAACCCCTGTGTGTGTGTATACTTTTGCTCCACCTACTTTTGCCCCACCATGCATACATGTATATACTATCCTATATAATAAAATGCTAATACAAAAATTACCCCAACGGTGGAACAACCAGTTGCTATGACGTGCACTGACCACCAGGGGGCAGCTGCCCCCTGGTGGTCAGTGTACTCCCACAGCGGGGGAGTGCCACTCAGCCAGAAGCTGGGCTCAGGGCTGGAGAGCACAGCAGCCGTGTCAGGAGCCTTTCCCACCTCCGTGGCAGCACTAAGGATGTCCGACTGCCAGCTTAGGCCCTCTCCTGGCATCAGTCTGACATCTTCCAAGGGCTCCCAGACTGCAAGAGGGCACAGGCTGGGCTGAGGGGCCCCCCCGCCCCCCGCCAAGTGCACGAATGTCGTGCACTGGGCCTCTAGTATACACACACACACACACACATATATATATATATATAATATATTTCTTAAAAATATATATCCAGTACATGTAAGTACTTAAAAAATATATATATAATCACAATTCCATTATCAGGAGTCAAAGAATGTTCACTTACTGTTAATATTGTTTTCTTTTATCTCTTGGTTGTTGAGTTTAAAAAATACTAAATAGTAAGGTACAGCAAAGTGTGCATTTATCACGCTAAGAGTTTTGTAAAACTGGTTCCAAGCTTGTATTGCCAAAATATACAGAGCATGTTTATTTTCCTTAAAAGAAAAAGAGAAGTAGAAGAAGGCGCCTGGGGATAGAAGTCTGAAAATTAATCTCCATTTAGAGACTCCCCATTGATCAATGTATGGCTGGACCAGAAAATGGGTTCTTGTGTAGGGATATTTTCTCAGAGGATTAAGAAGGTGGGGGTTGGGGGACACTTAATCCTGTGTTTCCTACCACGGTGCGTTTAAAAGGGTAGATAGAGCTCTTGGCAAAAGCATGGTCAGTACTTCAGTGTTGATATTTGCGATTCTCATTCTCTTTCTAAATAGCTGTAAACATTTAGAAACCATGAAGGGCTCAGTTCAAAACTTTGTGATTGCTTGCGGCTGAGATGAGATTGGAGACCCAGTTTTCTTGCTTTTTGACAGCTGTTCAAGAAAAAGAGCCGTTGGTGTGCTGAAGACCCTCTTGCCCATCTTGGACTGGCTCCCCAAATACCGAGTCAAGGAATGGCTGCTCAGTGACATCATCTCGGGAGTTAGCACTGGGCTAGTGGGTACCCTGCAAGGTAAGGTGTTGGTGGACTGGCCCCAGTGGTTGTGAATCAGTCTCCAGAAGCAGTTCATGACCCCCCACCCAACACACACACA